GATTAGTGAGAAAAGAAAGCTCACCATGCTGACGCTTACCGTGGTCATCTCCCCCTGAAGGAAGTACACCACGGTTCTTGAAAGTGTGGAATGAAAGTCCTCTCCTCCACTTCAGCGAGCGACTACTCTGCGAAAGCCAAAACCCACAATGAGAAGGATACATGATGGTCACGAAGTATCCATCACCTTTGTCATCTTGCCAACGGCAGACTTCGGCACAAAAGTGCCAGAAGGCATTGGTGGCCTTCCTGGTCCAACCATCAGGGATGACAGGATGAATAAAAATGTGATTAGGCTCTGCCTTCAAGATCACTCGCCAAGCGGCCTCAATCGAAGATTGGATAGACTTGGCGTTCCATTCACCAAACAACACAGGTTCACTCGCATCAAGTCCAGAATGGACTGTGCACGCAGTAAGCCCGGTGAGGCGAGGTGTGATCTCAACGAAATCGCTCTTGCCTGAAGTGAGAGTGTGGTAACAGATCTCATGCTCATAGCAGAACCCAGAACCGGCACGATCAAGAATATCGTCGCCGATGCGGTCGAGTGCCTCTTCCTGAGAAGAGCGTCTCGGGACCTCATCTTTCTTCAGAGGAATGGCCACATCATGCCACGGATCTCCATCACGCCTGACCTTCGACTGATTAACCCGAAGAACGGCACGATGAACTTCAACCAACACCATGGCACCTTCCTGTGACACAACTATGCCTCTGACCCAGGTTCCTTCAGACTTCTTCTTCGACTCATCCTTATGCCAAACAAACACGCGGTCACCCTTCGAGTAAGGACCATCAGACGGCATGACTCTCCGTGCAAGGTCCTTCCGAAGGTCAAGTGATTGTCTAGCCTCTTGATGAGCCCGCATGGCAATCCTCTGGAGTTCCAGAGTGGTTCGATCCTCCTCGGCAGGTTCAGCAGAGAGCTGTTCAGGAGAACTGTTCTCGACATCAAACAAGTCTGGTGGCCGTCTTCCTGTAGCTATCTCCAAAGGAGAATAGCCTGAGACGGTAAGCTGGCAATTTCTTGCCCAGGCCACCTTCTTGACTGCTTGACGAACAGTCACCTTCTCTGCATAACCCTCATCAGCTAAGGCCTTGGCCATGATTGCCCAGGTGCGCTTGAAAAGACGCACTGCGGTCTCAGCTCGATTAGGCCAAGGAGTCCGTGGTCCACATGGATACGGAGTAATGCCATGGAACTTGTAGTAAGACATGAACTGTGGCGTGAAAAATGCTTGATCTCCTACGATTCCCTTAGGAACGCAGTTGTTCTCCTCTGTCCATTGTCTAAAAGCTCCCAGAGTCTCTGGCGCTTCCAGGCTTGTAAGAGCCGTAGCCCACAGAAGATTTGAAGCACCATCAATGATGACCAAAGCCAAGTAGGCTTTAGTACCGAACTTGATTTCTTCATGATCAACAAAAATGAGATCACCGAAGGATGATGCTCTTAACCCTGCGATTCTGGCTCGCGGAGGCGTAGGCACCGAGGTGCTGCAAACACGACAGCCTTTGACAATGCGGTCGTACTTGTCATAGATCTCTCCTGGCAGACCAAGCATGCTGGTCCTGCGTCGAAACTGAGCAGGACTCATGTGGTAATGCTTCACATGCAACTTGTAAAGCTCAACATCATTGTTCAGCTTTTCCAACATGCGCTGATACTGCGGAGAAGCCCTTGAGACCTCGTGGCCTGGCAACGGAAGCGCGATCCTCCTAGGTTCTAGCGACTGTGGCTCTGGGGCCTTCGGAGGACTCGGAGGAAGCAAATCTGCATCCCCCGGTTCGGAAGGTTCGTACTCTTGAAGATCCGGATCATCCTCAGGAGCAAGAGGAGGAGGAGCCGGTTCCTCGGGTGCCTTTCCCTGTGGAAAGCTTCCCTTGGCTCGAATCCTTCTCTTTGCCGGTGCCTTTCCCTGAGGAAAGCTTCCGGATGCTCCTGTGTTCTTCGAGCTGTCTTCAGGCTTACCTGCGCTAACCATGTCCTCTGGAGATCCTACCTTTCCACGGGTTGGATCCTTGGACTTGGCTGGCACCGAGGTTCTACTCTCGATGCCACCAGGCAGAATCTTGAAAATGGTCTTGCCTTTCCAAGAGTCAGTAGTTCTTGTTGAAGAAAGCTCAGAAGAACGCCAGTCATCTTCTTGAGTAACGCTCTTTCCCTTGGAGAACTCCATGATCGTCTTGCGCTTGGTGTCCAGATACTCCAACGGAATTGGCACATAACCCGCCTTGGGTTCGTACTTGACTCTTCTCATCTTCTTGTGGATGCGAATCATTTCCATGTCGGCTTCGTTGATCACCCATTCATCATCAGTCGCCAACACGAGATTGTCAGGTACCTGTTCATGAGAACAGCATCCCTCGGTCTTCTGATGGAAGCCGTACTCGTAGTGGGAGAAGTAGGTGAGGAAGCTCGACTTCTTATGCTTGCTGAAACGCACATTCCACATCAGCTGACTGAGTTCAAGAAGATCAAGTACCAAGTGTGAGCTGGGTGCAACCTTCAGCCTCACATCCTTGATTCCCAGCACAGGGCTGCTGAGCAAGGCCTTTTCCGGATGGAGCTCGAACTGGAAACGAAGATTGCGCATCTGAGGTAAGGACATGAGAATGGGAACATGCCCTTGTTCCACAATGTCGAACTCTGTGGATTGAACTGCAAAGTCCCGGTCGTACATGCAAATGACCAACTTCTGGTTGCATTTGGTAGACTCGGAATTGGCAAAGGTGAACTGAGAAGTGGTCTCAGCAATGGTGTACCATATGCCACAGTTCTGGTTCTTGTCACAGAACTCCATGAGGTCCTGTGCGGCCACTCTCGAAGCCATTGCTCTCGTGCATCCCAGGTCCAACACCATCGCGGTCGGCGTCAAGGGCTGAGAGATGAAGGCTTCCTCGATCTCATTGATCTTCTCTTCGGTGGCCATGAAAGAAAAGTTCGGAGTGTTGAGATGTTCAACGAAGAAGGTTGTGGCGGCTGTGGTGCCGCTCGGGGCAGCATCAGCAAGCTGGCTCTGTCCGTCTTTTCCGGACTTTCCATCTTTTCCATCCTTGCCAAACTTGCTCTTTCCTTTGCCCTTCTTTCCTTTCTTTCCTTTTCCTTTGGCTGCATAGGATTCCTCAGACTCGTACCAGGACCAGTCATCCCAGGACTGATCGCTCCACTGGTAATCTTGCCATTGTCCTTCTGCTTGCCATGCTTCTGATTCTTCGGCAAGATGTGACCTGCCTTTCTTCCTTTTGAAGAAGCGCCTTCCTTTGGATCCTTTGCCACCTTTTCCTTTGCCTTTACGGTGGCCCTTGAATCCGCGCCTCATCTTGCGGCCTTGGAAGCGCCGCTGGAACCATGAATAGTTCTCGTCGTCGTAGACCCAGAAGGCGTCCTCATCCGCTTCGAGGAAACCTTCGGTGCCATCTTCCTCGTCCTCGACCCAGTAGCCTTCATGATCGTTCAAATATCCTTCATCGATCACAAGGAAGGTCTTGCGGCCACCGTGGCCGGAAGGAGCGAGGAGTGGATTGTCGACGGTAGTCTTGGTCGTACAGAAGATCTCCAGGTAGACTTCGCGAAGCTCGGCCGTGTTGTAGTCAGCCAGGACTCGGTTCCGATGCGCCATCAGTGATGTCAACACCTGACGCTGATCCTGTGTCAGATCAGACAGGGACACAAAGATCAAAGCGACCAGGTTGGGCGTGATCGGAATGGTCCGAGCATGCTGCTCTCTGAGCCGTTCGTTGGCTCTCTCCATTGCCTGAGCTGGCGTAAGGTTTTCTTGTTCTTCTGGAGGAAGTCCTACTATGAAAGCTCTGACCTCTGCATTGTTCGGGTCCTCGATCGGCAGATAGGTATCGTTCCACGCTTCTTGCATTCTCTGAACAGAGAGTTGAAACCTGGTAATCCAACGAAGCATGTCTCCGTTCCCACGGTGCATGTTCATGAACTGCTGGAAGCGATAGAGAAAAACATTCGCTGCTCCCTTCACGAAAAGCGGCCGCAGGAAACTCTTGAAGTACTTCACTCCGTTGTTCGGGTCCTTCAGGCGATCTCTGTCGAGAAGTCTCTTGTGGATTGCTGCTTCACCTTCTAGCCGATTTCTCAAAGCTGGTCCACGCTTATCATTGTCTAGCTCAGTAATGTCACACCAGTCATCGATCGCATCTTCATAGGCAAACCAACTGCTTCTACCATCATAAGATGGAGGTACTTTGGTGGTCACCTGCTGGAAAGCTGAAAGACGGTGTAATTCATTGAGATGACGATGATTAGTCGCGAAAGATTCATTTCCGTGGAGGAGGTAGTCATCATCTCCTCCTTCATGCTCAAAGATAGTCGCAGAGTGGCTAGCCATTGCGCTGTTCTTGGATCGAGCCCCGGGAGAAACCTCTTCCGGTTATCTTCACCTGAGTGAAGTGTGCCGGAGAGACTCCGGTCACCTTCACCTGAGTGAAGCACACCGGGTATTCCGGTTGCCTCCACCTGTGTAGAGAGTACCGAACGGGTACCTCCACAAGTGTGAAGCTTCCCGTTTCCCGGGAGCTCCGCTACCACGTTGAGATGTAACCTGGACGTGTATCCCCTCGCTAGGCGTACAGGAACACAGGCACTCAGGTGTCTCTTTTGCTACAGGCGCACAGCTGTAGTCCACTGCACTAGAACCTTGAGCAACAGGCATGGATACATGCAAGTGATACGTGAAACAGACAGGCACCTGGATGTGTAACATTCAGTGTTTCACCCCCTCCCCCCCCTCCCCCCCCCCCTTCCCCCCCCCCCCCCCCCTCCCTCCCCCTTCCCCTCCCCTCCCCCCCCTCCCCCACCCCCTTGTACCAGTAAGGGTGGGGTTGGACAGGCCGCCCTAGCATTTAAAAACCTCGACTGCCCCCTCGCCCTGCCGCTACACAGCCGAGGCGGGCGGCGTAGCGTTAAAATTACATACACATGCACTGATGTATGCGGTGCAAAAAGCAACTGTATGCTTCCATGAATGAAAACCCGGCCTCTCGGTCGTCAGAAGCGCCAAGCCTTGCCAAATAGACTTGAAGGTACTTATCCCACCAAACCCTACAAACACTAGACAGAAGCTGACTTTATCCCGATGGCAGAGATTTAGGTATTTAGGTGCTTTGGAAAGTTTCCCTTGAGATATTGCCGGGCGGCGGACACCACAGGAAGAAGAAAAAGAATAACAACAACCACAACTACGACCATCACCACCACCACCACCACCACCACGACTACTACTACTACTACTACTACTACTACTACTACTACTACTACTACTACTACTACTACTCCTACTCCTACTCCTACTACTACTACTGCTACTACTGCTACTACTGCTACTACTGCTACTACTGCTACTACTGCTACTACTGCTACTACTGCTACTACTGCTACTGCTGCTACTGCTGCTACTACTACTACTGCTACTACTACTACTACTACTACTACTACTGCTGCTGCTGCGCCTGCTGCTGCGCCTGCTGCTGCTGCTGCTGGTGCTGCTGCTGCTGCTGCTGCTGCTGCTGCTGCTGCTGCTGCTGCTGGTGCTGCTTCTGCTGCTACTGCTCCGCTACCCGCTATCACTGCCGCCAGTCCTGCTCCTCCTGCTGCTGCTAGTACTTGCGAAGGTATCCAGACATACCTGTGTTCGCGCATATTACACAAATCTCCGGCCACAACACATCTGACAAAGATCCCACCCCAAGTCCCCACCCCAATTCCTCAAGCTCCTTTTCCCAATTCCCAAGCAACAACACCGAAAACACTGCTAAATGTGTCTGGCCTCTGGGCCACAGGGCTCGGGATCAGCAGAACAGCATCGAAGCACTTGCCAGTATCGAAGCTGCCCAGCAGAGCCTTCGAATCCAGAGTTCACGTCAGAAGCTGCCCTGAGCCCAAAACCCCAGACCCTAATGCCCCGAACCCTAAACTTTCCTAAACCCTGAACCCTAAACGTTAAACTGTTAAACTTTCCCTGAACCTGAACCAGCAGCCGCCGGCGTCACGGTCGTCATTCTAGAAGTTGCAGGGATAGCGCAAGCTCGAATATAGGGGCCTTAATAATTAGAATAGGGTTTTGGGGCCCAGTATGATCTAATTATAACAAGGAACCCCCAAAATGGCATAAGTAATTATCAAGGCCCTGCAGTAGACCTCGACACCACAGACAGGGAGCCTCCATGTGTAGAGCTTTCGCGCCTCCCAATGTGGCTAGGTAGAGCGCATGGAAGTGATTCCTTGGCTTCGACGTTCGAGATGACTTCGGGCACAAGGTTGAGGATTGAGCACTTGCTTGAAGCTTAGGGCTCGAGGGGCCTAGTGAGCGATTCAGGGTTTAGGGCTTAGGGATTCGAGTTTGGGTTTAGTTTAGGGTGAAGGGTGGGTGGTTGGAGTTTCGGGTTCGGGTTGGGAGTCATTCCAGTGGTTTTTGCACCAGGGATCCGGAAACCCCCAAGCCAGAGAAGCTGCTGACTGCTGGTTTACGGTTTCTTAGTTGCTGAGTTCATAAGCCCCAAAACGTGTACACTTTCAGTTTCATAGTGGGTAATATCATCGCAGACAGTGTACGTACCGTGTATCTACTCAGCTACTAAGGGTTAAGGTGTTGGGTTTAGGATGTAGGGTGTTGAATTTTGGGCTCAGCGCTTTGCTGCTCTTCACTGGAAGGCTCAAAGGACTTTGCCAGAAGATTTCATGTGACCCTGTGTTCTGCGCTAAATTAGCGTCGGAATAAATGATCTTGCTTAGGCTCCGAGCTAAAAGTAAACTAGATACCCCAGACCCTATTCTTTTTAAGGCATTTAGAGTTGCCAGAGCAGGAACTGGCTTCTGTTTTAGGATCTGGCCCTGTTTTACAGGTTAGGGGCTTGCGTGTTTAGCGTTTAGGGTGTCAGGCTGTTCATGATCCCTGTTCCGCCATCAAGGCTTTTCGACTATTGGACTATGGTTCAGTGGTTAGGGAGCTAGATCTTGGGGTTGAGTGGTGATCCGGGAACCGGGCTCGGGATGTCAGGTGTGACGGGCTTTAGGGTTTCTAGGATTTTGCGCCTTACAGTTCGAAATCGTCATGGATCCAGAGCCTTACTTGGAGGGGCAGGGGACTTAGTAAGTAGGTTATAAGCAGAGTCATAAGTACCCTAAATGGAGTTACCCCAATTACAACCCTACTTATAACCTACTGACTAAGTTCCCTGCCCAACCAAGATTTGCAGACCCTGTAGCTATACCGTACAAAACCTGTTCACGACCACCCCTCAAGCCTAAACCCTAGTGCGTTACAGTTGCACAGTGGGAGCCTTGATGCGCAGGTTTTTTCATTGGGTCGCGAGTTTCGAGATTTCGGTGCAAAAACGGAAAATGGTTCCTTTTGTGGTTCAGGGTTTAGTGGGTAGGGGTTAGGACCCGAAGCCCTAAACCCTAAGCCCTAAACCCTAAACCTTAAGGTTTTAGGTTTTGGCCCTCGGGCTTCGCATCCTTGCTTAAGCAAAGCCTCAGATCGTGTTCAGCGCCGTCTTTTTGTTCGTCGGCCGGGCCGAACTTTTCCAGGGCACCATTGGGGACATGACAGAACCTTCGCTTAGGGTTCAGGGTTTTCGGGTTTAGGGTTTCGGGTTTCAGGGTTTAGGGTTCAGGGTTTCGGGTTTAGGGTTGAGGCGCTTTCGGGGCTTTCCGGCCTGAGCTGCTTTGAATATCGCTTGGGGGCTTGACGGTGTCATACCCGGGGGCCTTCATAGTTAGAACAGGGTTTTGGGGTATGTTACGGCTTCGTTATCCAAGAACTACAAGGGGGTTCTATCACGAAGTGTTCCCACCATGTTGGGGTCCTACAGGGTTGTAGGATCCAGTTAAATGCACGTAATAACTGAAGCTCGGTGCAGCAGTTGGATCAAGGCTTCGCGCTTTCCGCCTTCGTGGCTTGCGGTTTAAGGGGCAGACAGACCGACCGACAGACAGACACACACTTTCAGACAGACGTACAGAGAGACAGACAGAGAGACAGGCAGAGAGACAGCCGGACAGCCCGACAGACCGACAGAGAGACTAACAGACAGACAGAGAGATAGATGGGAGTTTCCGAAAATAGGGGACCCTAAGATAGTACACTAAATAGTAGGATCCTTATTATAAGGACCCCAAAATAGGGTAGCCCTAGTTTTGGGAAACTCCCAGATAGATAGATAGGCAGCTTGGTAGAGGGGCAGACTGGTAGCTAGGCAGGGCTAGGAGGATAAGTAAATTGGTAGATAGGTAGTTAGTTAGGCAGTTCAGGCAGTAGGCAGGTAGGTAGGTAGCTAGGCAAGTAGATATGTAGATAGGCACGGAAGCCAGGCAAACAGATAGACGAGAAGCAGCAAACACGATCATCACGTCACGGTACAAAGACAAACACATATACCTTCCTGAATAAGCATACTGCTGTCTTCCTGCATTGCTCGGTTGTAGATTGTGGTATCTCAAAGCTCCACATGCATATAAGTTTGAGCATGCAAAGTTGGCTTCGCAAAGTCGTATTGTTTTGTGTCTATCTGGCTTCATGGTTGTGCGACCGTACAGCTGTTGCAGGGTAAGAAGATTCGACGTCTGTTCACACTCCTCAGCCGCCGTAGCCTTGTATAAACCCATCAACCCGGTAGCGTGTTTTTGCTGATCCTATGGTGCCATTCGTATGCGAAGCCTCAAAGTTCTACTAGTAAAACTCAAAACCCTTGACTCGAAGCCCGAAACCCGACATCAAAACAAATCCAAAGCCTTTAAACCCTGAAACCCACGAATAAGCTGGGACACTGGAGGGTCTTAGAGGCCAGCACAGCCGCGCGCATGGAAGAGAGCATGGATGGCGAGTAGCCACCGGCGACGTCCGTGCCCAGGCCAATCTCAGGTTCATTTCTGTCTGGGGCTCGTTTTGAAGGGTCCCTTCAAGATTTTAAGGGTTCTGTTTGGAGTTCATTTGAGGGCTGTATAATATGATTATTCTACGAGGGACCAGGGTTCAGGGTATTGGCACTTAGGCTTCTCCGGGCTCAGAGGGTAAGGTTACATGCTAAGCCCTAAACCCCTAAACCCCTAAACCCCTGAACCCCTGAACCTCTGCCCAAATCCTCTAGATCGCTGAACCGCTAAACCCCTAAACCCCCAAACCCATAAAACCCCGAAAAACCCCCAAACCCCCTAAACCCCTAAAACTAAACACCAAAACCCTAAACCCAAAAAAAAGCCTAAACCCCAAACCCTAAACCCCAAACCTAAGCCCCCCAACCTAAACTTAGACCTTCAAACCCTAAACCTTTGGAATTATCTGCTTCAGGTCATGCTGCGAGCCTTGAAAGTTGAGCTACACCCCTCCGAGTCTTGGGGGAGTAGACTCCCAAGTAGAGTCATATAGGAACCTGATTGAGAAACTCTTGCGCTGTAACCCCAAAATAGTAGGTTTCATATCAGGAACCCGAATAAAGGCCCAAGGTTTCTTAATCAGGCTCCTACACGTAACTCTAAACCGTTAGGGCTGCAAGGGTTTAGGGTTTTGGATTCAGGGTTCAGTGGGAGTTTAAAGGTGAGGATGGCTCAGGGAGCTTGGCTCGGCGTTTTGCCCCTGAAACCAGCAGAATCTGGGCTATCCCGATCTCCGAGTCTAGGGTTTAGGGTCTAGGGTTTAAGGATTTAGGGTTTAGAGTTTAGGGTTTAAGGGTTTAAGGGTTTAGGGTTTAAGAGTTCAGAGTTTAGGGTTTAGGGTTTAAGGTTCAGGGTTTTAGTGTTTAGGGTTCAGGGTTTCGAGTTTAGGGGTTCGGGTTTGGGACCCTGGGAGCTCGACGTACCCTGAACCGTCTCGAGGGTTTCGGGGTTTAGGGTTTAGGGTTTAGGGTTTAGGGTTTAGGGTTACCCTAAACCCTAAATCCAAAACCTCGCGCCTCAAATCCTCCGAAACTGAGTTCTAAAGCGCAAAACCTGACGACTGAATTGCACCTGAAGCCGCTACCGCCAAATCTGTAATTCACAGGCCTTAATGAATGGAGAAGCGGTTTTTGGGCTCCTGTAAAGCATCATCATCATCATCATCAGGAACCCTGACAAGGAGCAATAGGGGTAAGTATTTACTATAACCCCCTTAGAACCGTACAAAAAAAATAACAATATGCTCTTGGGTCTTATATGAGCAAAAATAAGAAATAACTCCTAAAGAGACTCTTGTTTGAGCACATCCGGAAGCCCAGCCCAACCCAACAGCCCTCCCGAGGCCTTCACGCCCCTAGCAACGAGTTGCTTGACTGGTAAGGCGCCCTGGCCGAAGAAGGATTTCAGGGTTTAGGGTCTGGGGTTTAGAATTTAGGGGTTTAGGGTATAGGGTTTAGGGTTAGGGTTTAGGGTCTAGGGTTTAGAAGTTAGGGTTTCAGGTTTTCTGGGGGCTGGAGGGTCGTAGGGTTGAGGGGTTTGGAGTTTGGTGTTTAAGGGCTCGAGGGCTTTAGAAATAAACCCGCAGCCCCTGAACCTTAAACCCTAACCCGAAACCCAAAGCCTAAGCCCTAAACCCGAAACCCCAAACCCTAAACCCGAGACGAAACCCACAAACCCTAAACCCGAAACCACAAACCCTAAACCCCAAGCCACAAACCCTAAGCCCGAAACCCCACACCCTGAACCTGCCTGAACCGCTCAGCCTCGACGGCTCAGCCCTTCACATTGTCTCTGCTCTACTCGGAAGTTCATGGGTACTTACAAGTAAGGCCTACAAGTCAGGCATCTTTCTTACATCCTCTTCTACTTAGACAAGGCCCCTATATCATAGAACCCTACTATAGATCCCTTATAGATCCCCTTTTAAGAAACCCCGCCTTCTAATTATCAAGGCTCCTACATTATGGTACCCTTATAGACCCCTTGTAGTAACCCTTATAGACCCCTTTAAAGGAAGCCTATTCTCCTTACAGGAAGCAGACGATGCCTTGGCGAAGAAGAAGTTGGAGAGCGGGCAGTGGGCGATGGCGGCTCCCCGCTGCCTCGAAGGATCCGGGGCTTAGATGGTGGGACTTAGGGTTTTATAGGGTTTAGGGTTTGGGATTGGGGGTTTAGGGTTTAGGGTTTGGGGTTTAGGGTTTAGGGTTTGGGGTTTAGGGTTTAGGGTTTGGGGTTTAGGGTTTAGGCCTTGGGGTTTCGGGTTTAAGGTTTAGGGCCGGTTTAAGATTAAGGTTTGGGGTTAAGGGTTTAGGGTTTAGGGCTACAAGCAAGCGAGCCTATAAGGTGTGGGGCGCACTGCCACTATCCTGGCACATAGATGATGGGGTTATTGGTGCGGTTATACCTAAGGTCGGTTGGTTTCCTACAGCGCTACTTTTCCTCAACTTCCCAAGGTCCCGCCGTAAGGTCTAAACATACTCCCGGTCATGGGTTCTCGTTTACCGATTTACATTAAGTTGCCACAGGAAGGAAAGCATATTATTTAGTATAGATCCCTGTTATGGTAACTCAAATTAACGTCCGTAACAAGAACCCAGGATCAGGCAACATTCCTCAAGCGAAGACAAGCAATCGGACTAACAATATGTTGTGCTCATGGTAGTAAGCATCTTGATGGCGATGATAATGATGGCAATACCAGCCCATACACACCTCAACTCGAAGATTTACTGCAGGGGCCTTCATAGCTAGAATAGGGTTTTGGGGCCATTAAACTAGAATTATCAGAAGGAGCCCCCAAGATAGTATCCTTTCTCATGGTGGTTTTTGGTGTGCTTTCTCTGCTGGCGTGCCTCATCAGCTCTTCCTCCCCCTTCTGAAGCTGCACGCAGTGGCCCATGACCTGTGGGTGTAGGGTTTAGGGTTCAGGGGTTTAGGCTTAGGGTTTTTAGGGCTTCGGGTTTAGGGGTTCGGGGATTTAGGGTGTGAAGTTTAGGATTTAGGATTCAGGGTTCAGGGGTTTCCGGTTTAGGGATGGAAGATGCATGTTTACTACTTCGACAAGCCCTCTCCATATCCTCCAGCTGCATTCTCAAGACGATACGTGTTGACCCCTACTCCCTGGAGCCAAACCTGCGAACTCCGTCGGGAACTCTAGATACTACTTGGAGGGGCAGGGGACTTAGTAAGTATATTTATAAGTAGACTTATAAGTACCCTAAATGGAGTTACCCCAATTATATCCCTACTTATAACCCTACTTACTAAGTCCCCTGCCCCTCCAAGTAAGCTATGCCCAGGACTTATGTCCCCTGAAAGCTTGACTTAATCGCCAACACAACCTAAAGCGTCAATACTCAGAAACTGTGATCTGCGTATCTTCTACACCTACAGTGGAATCACTAGAAGATACCCCTAAAGCCCGAATCCTTCTCGAGACGAAATAAGGGAAGCAACAGGCTGAAGCACAAAAGCGCAAAATCATGCAAAGCTCTGATGAAGCCCCTTCTAAACCCACCTCGTATCAGGTCCTACAAAGCCCCCAGAAACCCCAAAAACTCAAGCCAAGCGGTTTAGGGTTTAGGGCTTAAGGCTCAGGCTTTGGGGTTTAGGGCTTAGGGTTTAGGGCTTAGGCCTTAGGGAGTAGGGCTTAGGGTTTAACTAGGGTTCAGGGCCGAGAAAACCCTCAACTTTAGACCCCGTACTGAGAATCCTTAGGATCATGCCAGCGAGTCGCAGACGGGCCTCTCATTAGCCCAAAGTCATCGAAGGCCTGCGCTTAAAGAGCCCCAGAACTTGGGTAAGATAGGAGCCCGGTACTAGTAAAACAGGATCTTGGTGTATATCATGGCGTAATTCTAAAAGGGTATCCAAAATTATTCGGGCTTCTGTATCAGGCTCCCATCGCAGCAACGGTGGCAACAAGGGACTAGTGATCATACCGCGCGGTCCAAACATGTCCTTGCTAAGAGACGGTTGCTGTAAGGGAGATTGACCGAACCTACGACACAAAACCCAGCAAAAGCCATGGAGACATGCCGAAACCAGTCCTTGTTCAGGGGCCTTATTTGGCACAAAAGGTTCTGGTGTGTGTTACATATAATTCCTCTACTCATAATAGGGACTTTCAGTTGATAGTAACTGTAGTGTTGCTTTCGTTTGGGATTTTGGAGCTATTTCTAAGTGCCAAGCTTTACGACTGCGTGGGTCCGAAGGACAACTTCCACCTGAGGACACGAGTCCCTGGGCGGCAGTTGGGTAATACAGGGGCCTGTTACAATAAGGAATCCAAAAGGGTACTATAACAATAGGGGCTTTAATCATTAGAATAGGGCTTTGGTGCCCACTATACTATAATTATGAATTATAATATAAGAAGGAACCCCCAACCAGAATAGCATTGGTATTTTTCCTAAGCCTCTAGACTGGGCGTGCAAAGGCTAGAGCGTACGGTATCGACAGGTCTCCTTCACATCTTAAGCCCCGAACTCTAGATCTGTCGACCCGAAATGCAGAACCGATTCCTCAACCCTAAAACAGCTAAGGCTTCACTCTCGACCATACACTTTACACGCCAAAGCATGAACCCCAAAGCTCTCAACCCTGAACCCTAATCCTCTAAGATCTGACAACCTAGCCTGTATGCGTGCACTCTCACAGAACCCTTAAAACCCTTGCAGCATCCTGGATGCAGACCCCTTTCTATTGGATTCGCACCCGTATGATAAACCTTCAAGCCTATATAGTATAGTCAAATATAGGTCAATGCAGTATGATAGAGTAGAATATAGCAAAACGTGACATATAATGTAGTACAATATAAGTACAGCATGGAATCATGTAGTATGATACAGCTTAATATAGTATAACATAGAATCATATAGCATCATATAGTCTAATATAGCATAATACAGAAATATAGATGGATAGATACATAGTATAATGTAGTAAAATATAGTGTAATATAGTAGAAGCTGGTCCTGCTGAAAATCTGCTAACATGTAGAAATCCCGTCCGCTGGCCATGGGCACGTAGTTTAAACTTCCTTGTATCCGAGTCCCGGAGCCCTCCCTTGACGGTTTAGGGCTTTAGGGTTTAGGGCTTTAGGGCTTTAGGGGTTTAGGATTTTTTAATGCAATGGGCCTTTTCTCCCGGGTTTAGGGTTTAAAGCTTTCGGGGTTTAAGGCTTTAAGGGTTTAGGGGCTTAGGGCTTTAGGGGTTTAGGGCTTTAGGGTTTAGGGGTGTACGGCTTTAGGGGTTTAGGGGTTTAGGTGGGATGAAGTTAGGCAGGATTAAGGGTTCCCTTACATCAGGACTCTTATTTTGGGATTATCCCAGCTACCTTCTAAAGTCGGGGCCTTAATAGTTACAATAGGGTAGGGTTTTGGGGGCTCAGTATAGTATAATGGCAAAGAGCTTAGATCGGTCGGGTTTGGGGTTCCGGGATTTAGGGGTAACGGAACCCTATCCTAATTATTAGGGCCCCTATGTTACCTTCATCACCCTCAACCCTAAACCCTAAACCCTAAACTCTGAACCCTAAACCCTAAACCCTAAACCCGCCCGCCACCCCTCTCACTTCTTTTGGGGTAGGCGGGCGCAGTCGAGCGCTCAGCGAGACCAAGCAGGCTCTGCTAGAGCTGGAGAGCCGAGCCCACTTCTGCGAGGTCGCCAAGCTATCATCGCCGAGCTCGTCTCTAATGTAACCCCAAACCCACGGATTTTGGCTTCGCACGCGGGTTGCATCCCGGATGCCCCGCCCCCAACTCTCCACGACTTGAGGCGGCCTCCAAATGGGCAGGGGATGCCCCCCCCAACCCTTCACGACTTAGACAAGGGATGCCCCCCCCAGATGCCCCCCCCCAACCCTTCACGACTTAAGGCGGCCTCCAAATGGACAAGGGACAAGGGATGCCCCCCCAACCCTTCGCGACTTCAGGCGGCCTCCAAATGGACCAGGGTTGCCCCCCCCCCCTATAAGCAAGTTCTAACTTTGGCTTGGACGGGCCTCCCAACCCTTCACCAAAGATCGGCAAATCAATGACGGGGCCCTTCGGCCCAGAACTCCCCCCAACGCAAAACCTAAATTTTGCTCTTGGTACAATGTTTGGCTTTGGCTTGGCCGGACAACAACCCTTCACGACTTGCGCTTCACGACTTGGAGCGGGGCGCCCCCAACTCTTCAACAAAGATCGGCACATCCTTTGAGCAAGTTCTAAATTGTGCTTGGACAGGGGTTCGAGGCCAAAGGTCCCCAAATCCATGACAGGGCCCTTCGGCCCAGAACTTACCCCCACGCAAACCTCACATTTTGTTTGGACAAGCATTGAAACCTCCAAAAACTCGAACGATTGAGCATATTTCCAAGTCGACCGGGACCCTCCACTGATCTTAATATCAATGACCCGGCCCGTCCGCCCGGAACGTACCCCAACGCAAACCCAAATTTTGTTTGGACAAGCATTGCCCAGTGTCGCGCTGTTATTTCGGCTGCTCTGGAACCGATGCAGAGTGTTGAAGCTTGAATAATGAGGCCGCTTGGTTGGGCTGGCTTCGGTTTGGTTCGCAGTGAGTAGTGTTTGGGTGGTCTTGGGGTGGGCATGTCTGCATACTGCTGCGTCCAGCTGACCAATGCTACACCCTAAACCCTAAACCCTGAACCCTAAACCTTCACCCCAAACCCTAAACCCTAAACCCTGAACCCTAAACCTTCATCCCACCCTTGGAACCCTTTGACTCCCGGCCTGGGCATCCGTCTTGCCAGGGAAGAGCTGCGAAGAAAAGGCGACTTCATCCACCGACTCGCTCATGTGGCTCCTTTTTGACAACTGTTTAGGGATTAGGGTTTAGGGATCAGGATTTAGGGATTAGGGTTTAGGGATCAGGGTTCAGGGTTTAGGGTTTGGGGGTTAGGGATTAGGGTTTAGGGTATGCGGCTCCCTTTCTGGAGGTCTTGAAGATCCGACTGCTTAGGGTTTGGGGTCCGAGGTTTAGGGTTCAGTGTTGAAGGTTCTAAACCTTGAAGCCGAAGCCCTAAACCCTAAACCCTCAAACCCAAATCCCAAGCCCCCAGACAGGGTTTAGGGTTTAGGGTTTAGGGTTTAGGGTTTAGGGTAATCCTGAAACTCAAGCCCCAAACCCCAAATCCATGGCCCCAAAGCCCGTGCAGACCCTTGGATCCGCGGAGAAACCCTTCTGGACAACGGCCCTGACTGACTAGTATCCCTGCATAGGCTGTAGGGTTTTAGGGTGTAGGGGTTTAGGGTTTTAGGGTTTTAGGGGTTTAGGGGTTTAGGGGTTTAGGGCTTTAGGGGTTTAGGGGTTTAGGGTGTAGGGCTCAGGAATCTTGTGGGTCTCGCTTTTCGGTTCGGGAGCTGGGACACGAGCGGAGCCTTCGAGCTCGCACATGCCATGTTGCTACTCGGAGGTACTATAGGGTTCTATAATAAGGCTCCTTAAAGGGATCTATAAGGGGCCTATTATGGAGGATCATGGGACTTAGTGAGTATGGTTATAAGTACCTGAATTGGGGTTATGAGTAGAGTTACCCCAGTAATAACCCTAGCTACTAAGTCCCATGATCCTTTAAGTAAGCCAAAGGCCCAAAGGAATAAGCTGTGTTCTCTCCGAGTCAAGGGTATCAGAAGCTATAGGCAACCGGAAACTCAAGCATACGGCATACGAGTATCACACCCTGTTTCTCTTTGGAGTCTCTATCCCTTAGTTCGAATATCAGACAGGTGTTTCTCCTTCGGCTTCTTTATCCAATTATGTCTTGACCTGTCCACAAAAAGATGAACTCTCATTCTCTCTCTCCCCTAAACCATCCAAAAGCCTAGACCCTAAAACCCTGAAACCCTAAAACCCTAAAAGCTTAAAACCCTAAAAGCCTAAAACCCTAAAACCCTAAACCCTAAAACCCTAAAAGGGTTCTGGGCACCAAGGCTCTGAATGATGCAGTTGTACTTGGCAGCCAGTTCACCCAGCCCCTTGAGCAGCTCCGGGGAGCAGGTTGGCAAAAACCGCGGAGTAATGACGGGCTGCACCTCGGTTTAGGGTTTAGGGTTTAGGGTTTTAGGGTTTTAGGGTATGGGGTTTAGGGTTTAGGGTTGGATTAGCGGTTTTAGTTTTAGGGTTTAGGGTTTAGGGTTCAGGGTTTAGGGTTTAGCAGCCGTCGTTGCAGCAGCAGTTGCAGTAGCAGAAGGAGTAGGAGTAGTCGTAGTCGTCGAAACAGTCGTAGTAGCCCTAGTAGTCCTGGTAGTCCTAGTAGTCGTCGTAGCCCTAGTAGCCGTAGTGGTGGTAGTAGTAGTTGCAGCGGCAGCAGCAGCAGCGGCAGCAGCAGCAGCAGGAGTACTAGTAGTAGTAGTAGTAGTAGCAGCAGTAGTAGTAGTAGCAGTAGTAGCAGCAGTAGCAGTAGCAGTAGCAGTAGCAGTAGCAGTAGCAGTAGCAGTAGCAGTAGCAGTAGCAGTAGCAGTAGCAGTAGCAGTAGCAGTAGCAGTAGCAGTAGTTGCAGTAGCAGTAGCAGTAGCAATAGGAGCAGTAGCAGTAGCAGCAGTGGCAGTGGCAGTGGTCGCTGTCGTGGTTGTGGTCGTGATAGTGGCAGTGGCAGTGGCACTGGAAGTTGCAGTGGTAGTGGTGGTAGTACTAGTGGTCGTCGTCGTAGTCGTGGTGGTAGTGGTAGTGCTGGGAGCAACAGCAGCAGCACCGTCATTCTGGCGGCAATAATGACCGCAAGTCTTGGAAACCCGAGAGATGATACCACCAGATCGTCGTACGGTTCAGAGTGAGAGACAAAACAAGACTGCGAACTAGATTACCAGGACTATTGTGTACGATTGTGCCAACTGAACGTCAACAAGGTCCTTCATCAAGGATCCTCAACCTTCACAAATCCAACCCCTGCACCCTATACCGGACCACAGCACTAGGAAGGGCGGCTTCTGCTCCTCTGGCGACTGTCTGGCAACCTTTTGGGTGAAGTTGACGAAATCTTCTGTGTCCCGCAGGGAAGAGGCCGTGGTCTCAACCAGTGCGTCAGGACAGTACCTGGTTGAGTTTAGGGTTTAGGGAGCTCTTCTTGCAAAGCATCCCCCTCTTGGCAACTCTCTTGGGACCTCGAAGATCTAGCTTCCTGTGTGCCTTCGTCCCGACCCTCCCACCGCCCCCACCTATCCGCGCAGACTTTGCCCACAAATGCGCGGGGGCCCTCAAGGGCCAGGGCGGCTTCGACCACGGCCTTGGAAGCATCGAGATGCGTTGTTCCGTAAATCAGCGCCGTGGTGGTGCCATTGGTCAGCAAAACCTTCAGGGCTTCGTTGTAGACGTACTTCGCCGAATCCAGGTTGGCCATCGAAGACTCGGTTGGGAAAGCGTACTTGGCGAGGAACCCGTCCTCCGCCATGAGTGGTTTGTCAATGCCGGCGCCTGTGTAGGGGAATTGTGGCAGGTGAATGTGCGTGTCAATGAAGCCCGGCACCAGCAGCTCCTGGGAGAGAGGGATCGAAAAATCTGATTTCGTTGTCTTCGGGAATACAGTCCGGATCTAGCGCTTCCCCCGAAACCCTAAGCTTAAACCGAGGCTCGGGACTTGGAATCTCAACACAGCTGAGAGGTAGAGAACCTCAAGGATTACCTGGACTCTAAAGAACCTACCTTTATAGGGTTCCCTGGTACGGGTTCGTTATATAAGTCCTTAAAAAAGGTAGGTTCTTTAGGGTCTAGGTACAGAAATAATGCACGCCGAAAGCCACAATTCAACTCTGGATCAATACTTCCTGGAACTATCGAGGCGCTTCTCCTAGCCCCAGAAGCCCCCCCACTAAAGACAAAGAGACCTGATCAAACTAAGGCTTTGGGCTTAGAGCTTCGGATTTGCGTAATAGCGTGCTTACTTAGACCTAGCTTGTTTGCTGGACCCGACAGGCAGCAAAGCACGATTATGTGCGCATGGTTGTGTTCTCATGTAGCAGACCGCGCTTGATGCGCTCCTTGCAAAACCTTGTGCCCAGCGCTGCACCAAACCAAGGGGATGGTAGAACAGTCAGGACGACCAGTAATGACAACGCTCATGATGCATGCTGAACGTGGATACCACAGTAGCTTCCTGGCATCTCTATGGTTCTTTAGGCTAAGCCTTGATATTGAAGACCTAGTGACCTAGTGGAAGTAAAGCTGCTAGAACATGCTGTGATCGTCCTTTAATACCTCAGGAGCAGCACCGCGATACTAAGTTCAGTGCATTGTGACTAAGCCCACATCCTACACTGTCAACCTAAAACCCGACCAAACATATGTGCTGCAAACCCTGAACCCCGGAACCCAAAACCAACAACACCCAACCCGCAACACCTAACCTCTAAACCCTAAGCCCTAAACCCCAAGCCCTAAACCCTAAGCCCTAAACCCTAAACCCTAAACCGCTCCTTCTCTCCCAACTCGCGCACGGGGACGCCCGCAGCAGCCAGTGCTCGCCTTTGCTCCCCCGCCTCACCGACCTGACGACGTCTTAGGGTTTAGGGTTTGGGGCTTCGGGATTCAGGGTTTAGGGTTCGGGGGTGTAGGGCTTAGTGTTTAGAGGTTGTAAGTGGTGAGGCTGGTGTGGTGCATCATGAGGGTTTTGGAGGTTTGAGGCTCTGCTGGGTTCATTCTTGTTAAAGAACTTGGTTAGTTTATGTTGCCATAGTCGGTGTTTCAACGCAGTGACATGCTTTCCTTACTGCTGTAGCTGAACTTGAACTCCCAGTTCAGAGTTTGCGTGCCTAATATAGGGGTTCCATAAAACTGTAAGTATAGTACTTGGAGGATCATTGGACTTAGTAAGTATGTTTATAAGTACCCTAATTGGGGCTGTAAGCAATTATAAGTATAGCTACCTTGATGATAACTCTAGTTACTAAGCCCCCATGATCCTCCAAGTAAGGAACCCTGAGGAAGGACCAAAGGTGTTGATTGTTCAGGCGCCTAAATTAGCGCCGGCCTGCTCAGGGCCGACGGTAAGGTCCGGGGATGTGGGAGGAGTCTCTAGCAGCTGGAGGTATAGGAAGTTGAAGACAGGAAGTCGCCCGGTCCTACAACGAGGCTTGGAGCTGTAGAGTGTCAGAGCTCCGCATCTTTATCATGACATGTCTGGAGTTTTGAGGTTTAGGCTTTAAGGTTCAGGGTGCAGGGTAGTCGCCACGTTTGGCCATCTTGACATACAACCAGTACTAGTGCCTGTCTCACTTGCTGCCGGCATTCTCGCCAGCGATCGCGGACCGACAAGCGTGGGGTCATACCCCGCAGTGCTTACAAGAGCAAAGCTTCCAGACTCCTGTAGCGCCAAGTAACTGTCTGTATGGATGGCAGTATACTATACTATACTAGACTAGACTAAAAGATAATACACTATAAATAGTGCACTACAATAAACTATGGCATACCGCATGTCAAGGTTTAGGTTGTAGGATCTTTCCTGTTCACCCTCAACTCAATCTTCAAACCCGAAAGCCAAATCCTGCAAACCCCAAACTCCAAACCCTGAACCGCAGGGATCAGGGCTTTTGTGCAATGGCCCTTTCTCTGCAATTCAAGTCAAGCGTAGGGTGTAGGGTTTGAGAATTTAATATGATTTAAACCTTAGGTTTCCCCAAATCTTGAACCCCTACTAAGCCTTGAACCCCAAGCCTCCACTTGCTGAATGCGCCCATCTTTGCCCACCAGGATGAGGCGTCGCTCGCCCAAACCCCTGAGCGAGCCGAAGTCAGGAGTGTCGACCTGATTCAGGGCTGAGGGCTTGGGGTTTGGGTTTCGGGGCTATGTAGCCGTGTTGGGGTTTATCATAGGGATCCTTAGGGGTGTAGGGGGGAGGGGTGTAGGGGACTATATTTCCTTAAATAGGCCTTATTAGTCCTTATTATGGGCCTTAAGGCCCCCTACCCCCCCTCCCCCTACACCCCTAAGGATCCCTATGAGTTTAGGGTTTGTTCAAGTAACCTAGGAATAAAAAGGCCTCTCTTTTTGGTATTGGGTAACTTTATAAGGAACCTAGGACTACAAAAAGGGAATAAGGGTACTACTGGAGATCCTAGAATGTGTGTGTTTTGAATGCAAGGCAGCAGAAGGGGCGACAAGGTGTGTTTGCAGGGGTTCTACTAGTATCACAAGCCGTCGTACTAACGCGTCTGCACTTCCGACTGACTTCGGATGCATGTCTACGGCTCTTACTTTCCTCATCGCAGTGGGTCTGTGTGAGTTTTTGGCTCGAGGATGTTCAGATAAAGGACCCCAAGAAGCCTGCAAAAAAATGGGTATGGAAAGCCGAACCCAGAGAGCCCAATACCCCTTAATTAAGGAATATGGCTTAAATCATAATATGAATCCCTATATAATTTAAGCCATATTCCAGGATTAAGGGGTATTGGGCTCTCTGGGAAGATATCGCTTCAACGCCTGCGGAACCCAGAAAATGCTAAAGCATTAAACCGTCGGCTCCGCAACTGCAATGCCACCCACATGTATAGAATTCCACATAGACCTCTGGAGAAGCCCAAAAGTTAGGAACCTCGCTCAGCCCTGAAAAAACGCCATAGCAGTGTTTCGAATGCGTACATATCCCCCCCTCGCGGACCATGGAAAACCCTGCAGAACCACTGAATGCAAGGGCCCAGGAACCCTAAACCCTAATTAAACCCTAATCGAAGCGATCAGGGAACACCCTCCAAGAAAACCCTGAAAGGAACCCATAAAAAGAACCCTTAATTAAAGCCTTAAAAGAACCCTGAAAGGAATCCTTATGGGCCCAGGAACGCAGAAACCGTGCACGGCAAAGGCCGCCGAGCCCAGTGTCATGACTCTGCGTTGTTTGGGAAGATTCCGCGAGGCTCGAGCACTGTCACAGCAGAAAAGTCGGAAAAGCCGGTTTAGGGGTTTAGTGCCTGAAAGAAGGGAGAGGTTTCTAGAGTTTGGAGGTCTAGGGGTGTCTCAAGGGCTTAGGGCTGTAGGTGGGGGTTACGGTTTTGAACGTTACCCCGACGGAGTAACATCATGACGGTAGAACAGATATCCGGCGGCAGCAATGCAAAAAGGAAGAAGGCTTGCAGCTACTGGTGCTGCTCATCTGACTACTGCTTCTTCTCCCCCTCGTATCACCAACACTACTGTTGATGATATAAATCCTGCATTACCCATAATAAGGAATATACCATAATAACCATAGTTTAGGGTCCTTAAGATCATGCAGGATTTATATCATCAACCGTAGTTCAAGTTCTGCTCCGTGGCCTAAGAAGAGCTACTACCCTACTTGTCGGGTATCATGGGGACCTAAAGGCTAATCTTTTTGGTTAAAAAGGGATGCCTGCCCACCTCCCAGAGAGCCCAATACCCCTTAATTAAGGAATATGGCTTAAATCGTAATATGAATCCCTATATAATTTAAGCCATATTCCTTAATTAAGGGGTATCGGGCTCTCTGGGTTAACGAAGGAAGATGGCTTAAATAATATCGGGCTTCATACTTCATATGTTGATTTAAGCTATATTCCTTAATTAAGGGGTATTGGGCTCTCTTGGCCATGGTTTTGGCTTGACTTTAGGGTTTAGGGTTTAGGGTCACTGTCGCCTGACTTATGCCTAGTGCAACTGCATCCGAAACAGTGATCACATTGGTACTTCTCTACGTCAGGATCCCCGTTGCGATCCCCAACATATTCCATCACTCTTACAATGTACAAATAGGGGACACCCCTAATAGTCGAATCCTTATTAACAAGGACCCCAAAATACGGTGCCCTTTAATTTTCGGAAACTCTAAACCCTTATAGTAACCCTTTAAAGGAGCCCTGAGGACCGAAACAATCCGTCCGCCTCGTCCGCCTTCCCGTGAAAGACGAATCGCTCCCTGCTGCGTCTTGCAGCAGACAAGCGGAAGGGTTTGGGGTTTACCTGTGGCCGAAAAGACCTACCTTTTTAGGGAACTATATATAGAAACCATAATAAGGAACCCCAAAAAGGTAGGTCTTTTCGGCTACAGGTAGGCTTTGGGCTTCAGGATTTAGGGTTTAGGGCTTTAGGGTTTAGGGTTTCGGGCTTTAGGGGTTATAGGGTTCAAGACCTAAGTGATTAGAAAAGAGGTTTCAGAGTTTCGGGGATGAGTCTTCGGACCCCAATATTAAGCACTATTGTTTCGGGGGTTTAGGATGTAGGGTTTAGGGTTTAGAGGTTTTGGGCTTGTGGAGTTCGGGTTTTAAAGTTTAGAGTTAGCCATTTGGGCTTGCGGGTTAGGGGTTTATGGCTTGGGGGCTTTTACTGTACGGGTTGGGTACCCGGTACAGCAACCGTGAGTCAAGAGTCTGTAGTAAGTGTACTACTAAATTTAATGAAGCCCTATATGTGGTATCATGTATACATACTGTAAAGTGTAAA